CTGAATGAGCTCTCCAGTTCAGCAACAGCTTCATGCATGGGGTGGGAGACGTTGTCCAGCAATGATGTTATTTTAGCTAGAGTCCTTCTGTCTCCCACCACCTGCACTGGGTCGAGGGGGCGTCCAGGCACAGAGCTGGCCTTCTTGATGAGCTTATCTAGCTTCTTCTTCTCAGCTGATGATAAGCTGCTGCTCCAACACACAACACCATAGAAGATGGCTGATGCCACTACCGAGTCAAAGAAGGTCTTCAGGAGCACCCCCTGCACTTAATTGGTGATATGTGACTTATCTGTGCTGCAGATCATCCATGCTGTTGATCTCATGCTGTTGTATTCATTCATACCATCTATTCACTACAGACTCATGTTTGGGCAGCTGTTTAATATACTGTATTATTTTACATTATTAGTGTTTAGCGTTAGATCTTTTTTTTTTTCTTTTTTTTTTTTTGTGATGGCCTCCCTTCTCCCCTTACAGCCATCCTCTCCACACCATTATTATGAAATATTTATTATAGTGACTATCTAGTGTAGGTGTTGTTGTTTATTTTATTTTTTTTAATAGAATAGAAAGAAAGAAAAGACAAAGTAAGACTCCAAAATATAAGAAATATACACAAAGAGAGCACACGTCAAAACACCCGGCCACTGTCTGTTCACCTGCAAAGAACATGACAAAACACAGCAACAAAATACATATGTATAAAGAACTTAAAATATTCATGGCTTTGCAGTAAGTTTCCATAAATATATATACCCATACCTACGCCTATATACATACATACATAAATAGACATGAATATACACTCACATACATATCTATATATCTACATTTAAAGCCTACATAAGCATCCCTGCTTCTATTTGTGTGTGGTTGTGAGCATGCATAAGTGTATAAGGCTTCTCTAATAGAACATTTATTAGTAACTGTGAAGCAGCAGAGACCCGACCCCCAAGACCAGAGGCAGACGAAAAAGGGGGGACCAGAGCCCAAGACCCCAGGAGGGACCCCGACCGCGGAGCCCCCAGAGCCACCCACACAGGACGAACCACTCACCCACCCCCCAGAACGGACCACAGGGGAGAACCGGAAGATCCCCACCAGCAACCACATACAGTGACCCCCCGGGGCCAACAGCGACAAACTCATAGGCCTCCGTCGGCACCCGCCGCACCGATGTAGGTCCAGGTCCAGGCACCGAGGCCCGGGCACCGAGGACTCACACCACCCAGGCCAAGGCCTGACAGGGCCAGAGGACCCGAGCCCCACCAGGCAGACACCAGGCCGAGCCGACACACGCCCAAGCGCCCAGCCCCCGATACCAAGGGCCCCAAGCGCGCCGGCAGGCAAGGGCACACCCCACCAGGGGGCCGCGCGATAGGGGCGCGATGCCAAGCACCCCCAGTTGTATCAAAGAGGGGGCAGTCCGAGTCTCAGCCTAACAAATACCCATTCATACACAGACACAATCACACTATCCCAACCTCAATCTCACATTCACTCACTCAAAGACATACAATAACGATACATTTCATTCTTATTCCCGATACGCACTCTATACCCCCCAGGTCCAAGACATGTACCCGCCCTCTACAGGGGGCAGCCCATGCCCAAACCCAGGAGGTAAACCCATTCATTCTTGAGCGGAGAAGAGCCAATACCCCAGACCCGGCCCAGGCCATACCCCGCCGACAGGACACCGAAGAGGACACGCCACCGACCACCCCCACACACCGCCAACAACCAAGCACGCACCCCCAGCCGACCGACCGCCAGGCCCCGGCAGCATTATTAGTGTTTAGCGTTAGATCTTTTAGCGTTGATTTAGCATATATCTTAGTGTATATCTTAGATCCTTGTACACCGTTTATTTTTATACTTTATATTTTTGGGTGTAACTGGGACCTTGAGTACACAATTTTGGTCCACCTCATGTACCACATGTGATGCGAATGACAATAAGGAACCTTGAACCTTGTAGACATGCAGAGTTTAAAGACTTAAACTGCACGAGGTTGGTATCATTATTAATGCTTTGATCGGTTTACTTACCCCAACCTCGCAGATGTAAGAGATGGAATGAGACATGACTGCTCAGACTGCAGTCACTTTGAAAAACCTCAGATATGCATCTGATTTAGTAGTAGTTTTTCACATTCAGACTATCATGAAAAAAAAAAAACAATACGGATAACATTTGCCTGCTGCGTGAACATCACACCTTAACTGTAGAAAAACCTAGGGCTTGTGTGCCGTTTCATAATTTGGAGCTATTCCTATTCTACAACAGAACCAAAACAAAGTACTGAAACACTGAAGAAAGTGGGTGAAGTAGCTCCAACGTGTGATGGATGGACATTTATCTACCAAAATATCCACACTCAGCATTTTAACTCCTCTTTTCAGTCATTTGATTCACCCAGACTGTTTTATACTGCAGCATGGAGCAGACTAATCTCTTTCTTTTAGGTCAGAGATTCTCTGCTCAAGATTTTCTTTGAAGAGCAATCATTTTATAAACACGTTGCTGCGCTCTTGAATCATAATCAAACTGAATCAAGAGGGGCCCTAGTTGAGAACAGTAAATCTGCAAATGATGAATTTCATCCCCATACTGATGGTTTTCGTGACAGCGCTGCAGCAGACTCTGAACACATGATACAACTTAAAAACGTGTTTAATGTCCAGAGTATTCATTAACCTAATGACTAGGGAGCACCAATTGCAGTTTGCTGGCCGATCACTAATTTCTAAAAAGTCTGACTTGCCGATTCCGATTTTGGCCGATACCAATTTTGTTTTATAAGTGACACGGTCAGGTGTTATAAGGTCACAATGCACCTTCAATTTTCCAATCTTATTTTATTGAAAAACATACCCTTGTACAATATCCTAGAAACAAAACAAACTTGTTTTAACTGGCAATGAGGTAGTGCTCTGAAATATAAATGAAGTTTAGACAATTGTTGTTAAAACAACAACAAAAAAATTGGTTTCTCATGTAAATATCGTCCGATTTCCCAAAATTAAGGAAATCAGGGCCCCTACTAATGACAATTTGATGCTAAAAAGAACGAACAAGATACAGCTGAAGGTGGAAAAAAAAAAAGATGAGACAAATCCGTATGTTGCAGGAGTATCAGAAAAACTGAGATGTTTAACATAATGTCCCAGTGGCTTTCAAACCCTAAAATATATTACGGCAAAGACTGGTTCATCCCAAAGATCCAGGTTCATCCCAAAGATCCAGGCCCCCAGCACAAACAGAGTAATGTTGTGTATGCTGTTCAGTGTCAGGAGGGCTGTGATCAGTCTTACATCGGGGAACTAAACAGCCACTGGCCAAAAGGATGGCCCAGCACAGAAGAGCAACAGCATCAGGCCAGGACTCTGCAGTCTACACTCAACTGCAGACCAGAGGTCACTCTTTCAGGGATGAAGATGTTCACATCCTGGATGGAGAGGAATGTTTGTTTGAGAGAAGAGTAAAGGAGGCCAACTTTGTGAAGAGAAACCATCCATCATTAAACAGGGGTGGAGGCCTCCGTGTTCAACTGTCCCCCATCTTACAATGCTGTTATTGCTAGTATCACTCAGCCCTCTGTGAATAGCAAGCGGCCATCAGGGCACTAACGATCAATTTTTAGGCTGATTGTCCTCCTTTATCATGTGAACAACTAGTTCTGGATGTCAACAACAAACTGGTTGATCCACTATGAGAAGGTGCTATTTATAAGACTGAGTTTATTCCAGCTCTTCAGATTGAGAAGTCTTTTGGATTAAAGACGAAAAGTTTCAACAAGTTTATTTTTTAATCGTCCAGAGGACCTGACTTAACTTTGTTAGATGAGACAAATTATTTCAGTGATGAGGGAGCTTGTTAACTGAACTCGACTCTCCTTGGCTGACGATATAAAGTATTGAGTACTGACTAACCGGCTCGTGCTGTTATTCTGTTATAGCTGCTGCCACACGCCATCAAACAAAAGAAGAGAAAAACAACAAAGGCTACTTGAGTTTAACAATTGCTCAGACCCTTGGCCTAAGTTTAGATCTCCACACGGTTCGGTACCCTCTGCTCGTTCATTTGGAAAAACGGCAAAGCGGAGTTCCTTCAGTCGCTGCTGGCATCAAAACCTCATAAATATCAGGTCCATTCGTGGGTGACGGACAGTGTGATACAGCTGTAAGGGACTGACAACTTCACAAGTTGTGTTGTGACTGAGTTCGTACCCAAACCAGACTGAAGTGGCCATTATAGACACGGACGGGACCGTCAGCGGACTCTGCTAGCTCTATGCTAACAGCTACCTCCGGTGTTGTGTCAAATAAAAGTACATTGGAAATGAAAACACGTTTGAAGGCAGTTTCAGTCACTAAAAAGTTGTGCGTATCTTGATAATGGTAAAAAGACTTGTGTTTCGTTCAGCCTAGAACAGGTGTTTATTTTTTACGTATCTACACAAGTAAGGATCCAGATTTTACGAAAGGCTAGGCTGGCAGGTAATTCATCACTGATGCAACAAAAATAAAATGTTTTAAAGTATTTCCATTAACATTACAATATAAGTTAGGACACTAACATTAGTAGATGATGTTAAGTTTGTGTCAGCAACTCTTTCCTGGTCATAAAATCACACTTAAATTGAATTATAATATTTTTATACTCGTGTTCTTCAGAGGACTATGCTCAAAAGTCAGTTTGTAACTTCTCGCTTTTATTCGACTCTAATTAAAATAAATGCCTTCAAATGTGCCACCCATAGCGGTGGAGTTTCTCATAACCGGGGAGTTTTATTCCGTACAACACCGGCTAAAATGGCTGTTAGCTTGTGTGCTAACAGTCGTTCCTCACGTCCGACGCTAACGTTAGCAACCCGCAACAAAAACAGAACAGTTCTTCCGTCTTTGGCCCATTTGAAACAATCAAGCCCCTGAGAAAAGACAAAAAGTTACCGAACATCGCCGTTACAAACGAGATCTGGATCGATACATACCGTCACTGGCGGAGGCGGAAAGTGCCGGAGAGGAGAGTTTAGGCCTCTTGGCTGAAGGCGGGCCAGAGTCCAGAACGTTCTCGGCCATATTTTTTCGAAATAAAAATATATAAAGTCTCCACAGTTGCAGACTTTTTTACGCCCCTACAAGGTCATTCCTTTTCGTTGACGATACTGCGACTTTTCCCCCTCCTTTTGGGGTGCTAAGAGGGGGAAAGTCCCGAGTACAAATTGCTCCTGTTTCCCTGGGTTCGCCTCTCGATTTCAGCCTCGGCGTATATCAACCCCCTCCCTCCCTCGGCGGATTTTTTGTTCTTTATAAATTTCTGCCAGCGGAGGAGGAGGGGTCGGCGAAAGTAAAGAAGAGGGAGACACGCGCGTCTACTTCTTTCTGAACTTAGACCGCCTCGTCGGGTGTAAATAACCCGTCCCGGGGTGTCGCCTCCACGGCTGCATCCGTCATTTAGCCGCCCTCTCCGCGGAGTCAGGATGAAGATAATGTCGGGCAGAGACGCTAGTTCAGCGGTGAAGGGCCGGACCTGCCGCTGAGGCTCAGCGCATGCAAATAACATGGGGTTGAGAAACGGACGGAGGGTTTGACTGCAGGGAGAAAAACACAATTCAGTTTTTTAATTCATGCAACAACCAAGCCAAGTGTTTAGCTGAAAAGATAGAATATGCATGATGTTAAATCTAACAAAGTCAGATCAGGTCCTCTGGACGGATTAAAAAATTAAAATTAAATTAAAAGCTTGTTGAATCGTCTCGTCTTTTATCCAAAAGACTGCCTCAGTCTGAGGAGCTTCACTATTTTATTTTCATTCAACCTTTATTTAGACAGGAGAGAGACCTGATTTCAACAAAGAATGCTGGGTTTTCTCCAGGTACTCCGGTTTCCTCCCACAGACCAAAAACATGCATGTTAGACTGGTAACTCTAAATTGTCCCTAGGTGAGAGTGAGAGAGTGAATAGTTGTTTGTCTCATTTGTCTCTATGTGCCCCTGTGATGGACTGGAGACATGTCCAGAGTGTACCCTTGCCCCTCGCACAGTAATTGCTGGACATGGGCATCGGCGACCCCCATGACCCAAAATGGAAGAAGCGGGTAAAAGATAATGGATGGATGGATGATGATAACAATAGACAATTAGAAAAAGGCTTACAGATTTTTTTTTACAAATTAAAATAAGATGGCAAAAAAGTTACAAAAACCAGCTAGATTATAAGGCGAATATAGAAAACTAAAAACAGGAACATGTCTGCATTGGTCCCTGCCAGAAGTCCAACAGATTCTTAAAGCCACTTAGAGAGGTCAAGGTCGAGAGCTTCAGGTCTTTTTACAAGATATTCCAGGAAACAGGAGCGGAGTAGGAGAAGGCCCTTTTGCCTAGTTCAGTCCGTACTGATGGAACACTGCAGGTAATAATGTCCTGAGAGTGCACGCTGTAGCTGCACTCATGCAGAGACAAGTAGGAGGAGATGTATGAAGGCAACAAACCAAGAAGTTATTTAAAGATGAAAGTGTACCAATGGGAGAGTGCGTGAAGTTAATGATGACCAGTTAACCATTGAATACAGGGTGCAGTGGTGGGTACAATAATCACAGCCAGTTAGGAATCTTAGAGCACCGTGATAGACAGCATCCAACATCTGCAGGGTGCTCGTAGGAGCGTTCATGTAAATAATGTCACCGTAATTTACCGACTTCCGGTAAGATGGCGCCCGTGTATATGGCTTGCAATCCACCATCCATGGTGTTCGGATTATTTTTGTTTTTTGCATTTCACATCTGTGACATCAACTCTCTGCTGGTGTATGACAGACAACAACTTTTGAATCTTCGTTTTTCTGTCACTGAAGTCGCTTATTTGGACCATTATCAGCGTACCTCTGGACCCCCCCCCCCCTCCCCCCTGCTGGCAGAAGTGCCAGCTTACCTTCGCTGTGCTCCTCACCTGCCTGCCCGGAGATATCGGCTCAGACGCCGGGGAAAACGTGCTGGTCAGCTGGTGAAGCTGAAAGCTCTGCGCACTGCATCTTCCTCTCCTGTGTGCCCGGACCAGGTAACCAACGTGAGTTGTCAGCCGTTGCGCAGCTCGGACCGACCTGGAGGGGCTGTTATTGAAAACCTGCGGCCATTAGTGCGCGCTAACTCCACCGCTGCTAGCTCCACTTGGGACAATATCCGGATGTGTTTGGTCAACGCAAGATCTGTTACCAACGAAACTTTTATCTTCAGGGATTACTTTCAAGAGCACAATTTGGAATTTCTGTGCATCACAGAGACTTGGATGTCTCCGGGTGAGTCCAGCGCCTTGACGGAATTACTGCTACCGAACTGTTTGTACTTTAACGCACCGCGGCCATCAGGCCGGCGCAGTGGTGGATTATTAACAATATTCAAATCAACTTTTGACTGTAAACAACTGCCCATCCCAGTTTCCCGCGCCAGCTTTGAGCTGAGCGTCTTTCAAATTGGAAATTCATCTGCAACGTTATTTCCACTCCTCTACCGCCCACCTCGATCTAAGGTTTTCATAAATGAGTTTTCTGACTTCTTGGCTGAAATCACACCAAAATATGAGCATGTTTTCATTATTGGGGACTTTAATTTGCACGTGTGCTGTCCTGAGAAGCCCTTGGTTAAGGACTTTTTAGATTTATTGGACTCATTTAATCTAACTCAGTATGTAAACGGTCCCACCCAAGGGTGTGAACATACACTGGACCTTGTTTTAACTCATGATGTGACTTATAATAATCTTGTTATTGGTGATAATGTTTTTTCAGACCACATGCCAGTCCAGTTTGAGTTCACCCTCCCCCATCTAACTCCTAAGTCGTGCATTCCTGCACGTAGGACTTGGACCATTAACCACTTCACTGCCGCACATTTCACAGATGTTTATAACTCTGAAATGATCATTCAGGCCCCAGTGTTTCTCACCACCACGGAGGAGCTGACATCCCAGTTCAACTCTGTCTGCTTAAAGACTATGGATCATGTCGCACCTGTTAAAACCAAAAAATCAAAAATCAAAGCAGAATCTTGGCTGAGTGACGTCATCAAGGCCGTTAGGCAGCAATGTAGGAGGGCGGAACAAAAGTGGAGGAAAGACAGGCTGCAGGTCTCTTTCCAGATACTTAAAGAGAGTTGACGCCGTTATCAGAAAGCAGTAAAAGCTGCTAAATCAAAATTCTTCTCTGATATAATTACCTCAAACTCTCACAACCCACGTGTCCTCTTCTCCACCCTAAACTCTGTTTCCACCTCACTGAACCATCACCTCTGGAAGCCTCGACTGAGCTGTGCGACAACTTCTTACATTTCTTTTTGGAAAAAATTGCGACCACCAGGGCTCTCATTTCCCCTCCAACTCATGACCCGTCCCACCTCAGTCTCTAGCTCCTTTTGACCATTTTGAATCCATCACTCTATCTTCTCTAGAGCAGGTCATGTGCAGCTTGAAACCTTCTGGCTCCCCCTTTGATGTGGTCCCCCCTCGACTACTAAAGGAGGTGTTTCCAACTCTAGGTCCGTCCATTCTTGATATAGTAAACAGTAGTTTATCCACTGTCGTGGTGCCAAAATCCTTTAAACATGCTGCCGTCCAGCCTCTCCTGAAAAAAACAAACCTTGACCCCTCAGTCGTTTCCAACTTTCGGCCTGTCTCCAAACTCCCATTTGTTTCTAAAGTACTGGAGAAAATAGTCGAGTCCCAGTTGAAGTGCTTCCTGGAAGGTCACGCCATCTTAGAGCTTTTCCAATCTGGCTTTAAACCTCTCCACAGCACTGAAACTGCCCTGCTGAAGGTCTTTAACGACATCTTCAGATTCACAGATACCGGTGATTCTGTGCTGCTTGTCCTGTTGGACCTCACAGCCAGCCGCCTTTGACACCATCGACCATGAGATCCTCATTGCTAGGTTGGAGCAGTGGGTGGGCGTCACAGGATCAGCCCTCAATTGGTTCAGATCTTACCTCACTGACAGATCCTTTTGTGTCTCCATCAAGGATTTTAGTTCCGCAGAGGCAGAGCTTAAATTGGGGGTTCCGCAGGGGTCCATCCTGGGTCCCCTCCTATTCTCTTTATATCTGCCGCCACTTGGTGCTATCTTCCGGAAACACAACATGCCCTTCCACTTCTATGCCGATGACTGTCAAATTTACTTCCCCCTAAGACACAATGGTACATGCTCTATTCAACCGCTGCTCAACTGCCTGGCTGACATCAGGGACTGGATGGCTTTAAACTTCTTGAGTTTCAATGAAAAGAAGTCTGAAGTCATGTTGTTCCCTCCCAACGACACAATCACAAACCACTGCATCGACCTTTCCGCTCTAACCCTGTCAGAAAAACAAAGAGTCACTAATCTGGGCGTGATAATGGACCCTTCCCTGAAGCTTAACAATCATGTAAACATGATTGTTAAATCATGCTTCTTCCAACTGAGGCGGCTGTCTAAACTGAAGCCCATATTGTCCAAAAATAATCTGGAGACAGTAATACATGCATTCATTACATCTAGGCTTGATTACTGCAATTCACTCCTGTTTGGTATCAGTCAGACCTCTATTGCACGACTACAACTGGTCCAGGATGCAGCAGCCCGATTTTTATCCAGTACAGGCAAAAGAGAGCACATTATACCAGTTTTGGCCTCACTGCACTGGTTACCGGTTCACTTTCGAATCCAGTTCAAAATAGTCTAAAAAGACTATAACGTGTTCCCCCCCCCCCCCCCCCCATCTCTCTGATTTGCTACAACCGTATGTCCCACCACGCTCCCTGAGGTCAGTGGACCAGTTACTCCTCACAGTTCCAGGAACTCGTCTTAAGCGCAGAGGTGACAGGGCCTTCTCTGTAGCAGGACCAAGACTCTGGAACGAGTTACCTCTGCTTGTCAGACAGGCCCCCTCCCTCTCGGTTTTCAAGTCCCGTTTAAAAACTCACTACTGTTCAGTGGCTTTCGGCACAGGATGTTCTGTGTTTTGATCCTGTATGCTCCACACTGGTTTGTCGTCATTGTCTGTGTAGTGAACCTGATCTGACCTCAAATCTGATCAGATGGACAGAGACTGGTATTTCATTGATCTGCATCCAGAAATACAGTTTGAGCCATCTGGAGACTTTCTTTCTTGAATTAATCAAGTAGAAAAGACAATCCTCTATGATCATTACTATTTTACAAATGTTTGATAATCAAATTGCGTTAGTTCACTCAATGCTTACAGGTTGAAGAGAACTACTCATTTGTATTTTACATAAACAGTAAGTAATGATTTTTATTCCTCATTCAAAGAAGAAATCAGGTTAATATGCATTTCTTGATTTTTCTGTCTTCAATGAGCAAGTTTTGTAAGTATGTTAAAGGTCGAGTCTCGGTCAACTAAAATGTTTACTGAGAA